TAGATAGATAGATAGATAGATAGATAGATAGATAGATAGATAGATAGATAGATAGATAGATAGATATCTGAGATTCCATGTTTGAGAGACCAATTGAATTGGGTAGCAGAACCTGTCTTCAACACTATTGCTTTCTGTCCCTCTTCCTTTTTTTCACTTGAGTTCATCATATCTTAAGGCAGGGCAGCTCTGGCCTCATCCAGATGTATTTAAAGCCAATGTAGTTTTTCTTTTCTTCCAATATTTTTTCCCTCTAGATGTAGAGTCCATTTTTCAGATCTACCAGAAGTTGGTCCATTGGTTGTGGCAGGAATTGACTTACCGGCTTATTGCTCAAGGCTGATGTTATGGGCTGAGAGAAAGCAACCAGCTCAAAATCACCCAGCCAGACATTTGAGAATTATTCAGGAAGAGTAAACTAAAGTTGAATGAAAGTATATAAAAATAGGGATCCACCTTACAAGAGAGAAATAGGTTAATTGGTCTACTCAACAAGCAGAAGCTTACTGGCAGGGCACAAGTCTTTTCAGAAAATGCAGGGCTAGTCTGAGGAGGGGGCACTGGGCAGATTGTCTTGTAGTTCAGTAGTTCTCAGCCAGAGACCGTATTAGGATATTTGAAGAGGGCTATAGTTGAAAAATATGGACTGGGAAGCCATAGTACAGGGGTGTCAAACTCAAAAATAAAATCAACATTCAAAGCCCAGGGCCGTGGGGTACTTAGATCTGGCCTGCGAGGCCACCCTGGAAACAGCGAAGACCGACCTGTGGAGTTTCTGCCAGGGAAAAATAGAGCTCATGAGGGCCGTGTGTTGCCCTCCCAAGCTCCATTTTCGCTGAAAGATGGTTGCAGGGGGCCTTGGCAGCCCAAAACGGAACTCGGGAACCCATTTTGGCTAGCAGAGTGCTCTGGCCACCACAGACCCCCCCCCCAACACAAGTGATATCGAGCTGGGCATGATCCCACGGCCACCGGAGATCAAACACAACCCTGATGCGGCCCTCAGTGAAATTGAGTTTGACACCTCTGCCATAGTACAAGCTGTGGGGACGGAGAAAAGCAAAGTACTGTATATGACATTGCAGATACTGCTGTTGATGTCAGAAAATGCACCAAATGTTATGTCTGTATTGTTAATCGGACTTGGACAGGTGGCCACAGGAGAAAAGGTTGGAATGGAGCCAAGGGAGGAAAAAACGTTGGGAAACACTGCTCTAGTTGACCTCTTGAATATTAACTGGCCCCAGTGAATTGTTCTCAGATCCTGCCAATCAATGCAGATTATGAACTCTCAAACAGGCCAATTATCTGATTCTGCACTAGCTAGCCTCCTAGGTCCTTCCTCTTTAAACTGTCTCCTAAGGCCTGTCATGCTGAAACATCCGACCCTTAGAACACTATTCCTCAAACAAGTATCCCTTTGGCATATGGGATTACAATTCCATTATCCTGATTTAACAGCTGTTTAGAGTGGCTTCCCAATGCATTTGGGGAACATTTCAAAATATCTTGAAAGTCGGGGGGAGAAGTGGCTTGTTTGAAAGATGGGATCGTTCTCTAATATATTCAAGCAGCCTTTGGATATTCCCCCCCCCCCACTAAATCAAAACAGATAAATATTTTCTTACAGACTCTTCTCTCCATAAAGCAGGAACCTTTCTTAACCAGGCATAAGAACTCTCAAGATTTATTTAAAGTGCCTGGAGGGAGATGACAAGACAGTGTTGCATAGGTCCAGAATGCTTCATTTTAAAATCCCAATCACACATCTTATTCTTCCTCCTCCTCCTCCTCCTCCTCTTGCCATGATTGATTTGAATTTAATTTCTTTTGTTTCTCATCTGTGGTTTTAAGTGTGTGGTATAAATGAAGCTCTATAAATCTTGAGCCTCATGATTATTTAGTATTAATTGTAATAAAACATTTATATCCTGACTTTTCTCTGGAAACTCAAGGGAGCAGGGGACTGGAGGCTGAAACGCATGATGAATAGTTGCAGGAACGGAATATATCTAGTCTAATAAAGAGAAGGACTAAAGGATGACTTGATAACAGTCTTCCAATATTTGAGGGACTATCACAACGATGGGGGGTGTCAACCTATTCTCCAATTCATCTGACGGCAAGACAAGAAATAATGGGTAGAAGATGATTAAAGAGAGATCCAACCTAGAATTAAGAAGAAATTTCCTGACAGTGAGAACAATTAATCAGTGGAATGGCTTGTCTCCAGAAGTTGTAGTGCTCCATCACACAATTTTTTTAAAGAAGAAATTGCACAGCCATTTGTCCAGAATGGTATAAGGTCTCCTGCTTGAGCAGGTGGTTGGACTAGAAGACCTCCAAGGTCCCTCCCAACTCTGTTAATCTGTCTGTCTTCCCCCTTTTGGCCCCACTATAAGTTGTTTCGACTGAAAGATATTAGTCCAAAGGAACTTTGCCTCTATTTCAGATATTCAGATGCTGAGCATTATTTTGCTTCTACAATCAAAAGATCCTACTCATTGCAAGAGAAGTTGGTTGGTTGGTTGGTATAATGGACTGTTGACCTAGCATCAAGAATTGCAAGTCACTGGATTTCCTTGGAAAAGTCATTGTTGGACAGTCATAATGTGCTTTGTTTGGTTTTGAGTTAGCATGTTTTGTAAGAAACCACCCATTGTGTTGCATAGTACATGGCTTCTGGCTCACCTCAGTGGATGAACCCAGTCTGTGATTATTAATTCATTGAGTTCAGAATATACGATTCAATACTCTGAGAAAAGCAGGTGAGAACACTGGACATTTCTCCAGTTGGATTCTTCCATATCCATCTTCCCCCATCTCCTGGGTCTTCCCACCAATTGGAAGTATTATGAAAGTTGGTCGATTCATGTTAATTTATCTCTGTGGTCACTTGGAGTTGAAAATAAGTTGACAGCACATAAATCAATATTTTTGTGAGTGCTTTGGCAGGAATCTTCTTGAACTATGGGACAGAAATAATGATAATTGTTTTGTTTAAGTAATATTTACTCGTATGATTTATAGTCATTTAAAGGTATTTCAGGAAGTTTGTCATCTTGAAAGATGGAATAGAACAAATAATAATAAGGAATATACTTGCCTAACCAGAATTGGAATAATATGGGTGGTGGAAGGAAGAAGCTTGTACTTGAAATCTTTGGAGGCAGGATAATGTCACAGCATAATCCATAGTGATATCGGAAAGAACAAGTTCAAGAAATAACAATCACGGATCTGGGGAAGGATTATAAACAGTTGGATAATCACCAAAGGGAACCGAATAATGTGCTGCTTTGCTTCCATCAAATAAATGTTCCTTTAGATGTTATCAACTCAGATAGGGGATATCTAGGAAGAACCACCGTCTGGAAGGGAGGATATGTAGTTTACATGCAAAAGATTGCAGGCTCAATCCTTAGCATCCTCAATAAAGTTGTAAAAAGATACCTTCCCCCCAGAGGCATACATTAATACATTAGGCATACATTAATACATTGTTGTTGTTAGTTGCGAAGTCTTGTCTGATCCACTGTGACCCCATGGACAACATTCTTCTAGGCCTTATTGTCCTCTACCATCCTCTGGAGTCCATTCAAGCTCACACCTACTGCTTCGGTGACTCCATTCAGCCACCTCATTCTCTGTTGTCCTCTTCTTCTTTTGCCCTCAATCTTTCCCAGCATTAGACTCTTCTCCAGTAAGTCCTTCCTTCTCATTAAGTGGCCAAAGTATTTGAGTTTCATCTTCAGGATCTGGCCTTCTAAAGAGCAGTCAGGGTGGATCTCCTCTAGGACTGACCGGTTTGATCGCCTTGCAGTCCATGGGACTCGCAGGAGTCTTCTCTAGCACCATAGTTCAAAGGTCTCAAACATTAATATATAGGTACACATTAATAAACCTATGAAATCCCCACCCCATATATATGGGAACTTAATTTTCCCTTGTAAGTAAACATTTACAGAAGGCTGAATTGAACTTGGTGGCCACAGGGAGAAGAATCATCAGGAACCTGGCCCAATAAACCAAGCTTTGTATTCACTGACCACTGCTTTGGTTCTTGGAGTCCAGCATATACTGTATGTATGCTAATACAATTACATTGCATCTTCAAAGTGATTTGGTTGCTTAGGTGAGTCAGGTTTGGGCCACAGTACCAGTTAACAGATATCAAGTAATACATAAGTGATGGAAAAATATTCAACTAGAACTAGAATAGAATAGAATAGAATAACAGAGTTGGAAGGGACCTTGGAGGTCTTCTAGTCCAACCCTCTGCCTAGGCAGGAAACCCTACACCACTTCATACAAATGGTTATCCAACATCTTCTTAAAAACTTCCAGTGTTGGAGCATTCACAGCTTCTGCAGACAAGTTGTTCCACTGATCAATTGTTCTAATCTGGGTGCCCTGAGGATTTTGATTATGAGGAAGAAGTAGCTATTTCTGTCAAACTTATAATGAGAGACCCTTGGTTCTCTTTTGAGTTGCGTTTTTTTTTTCTTGCAGATGTTTCATTACTAAACTAGGTAACCTCATTAGCACTCTTGATGTTGCCTAGTTTGGGTAATGAAAAGTCTACCAAAAAAACCCACAACAACAACCAAGCTCAGAGAGCACCAATCCCCGATTACAAATATTCTCCTTTATCTCTTTTATCCTTCTCCTTTAACTTAGAATGTCAGACAATGGGGGCTCTGCTTTCAGTGGTTTTCAGAAAAATAAAGGCATATCTGATTTTATGGGCTTGGTCTTGTGCTGGATCTGTGTTAATGTTTTGTTTTCCTCCTTTCTGCACAGGTAATATGGTTGAATGGTGTTTGCCACAAGACATTGATCTGGAAGGTGTTGAGTTCAAATCTATGGCCAGTGGATCCCATAAAATCCAGTCTGATTTCATGTGAGTGCATTGCAAACTTTTTGCTCCACTCAGCTATAGAGACGATTTGATTATACAAATCTTTCCGTTATCTGGAAGACCGTATTAGACCGTATTTTTCGGACTATAAGAAGCACTGGGGTATAAGACGCACTAAGATTTCGAAGAGATGAATTAAAAAAAAGTTTTTGTCCTCTTCGGCCCCCAGGAGCACTCTGCAGGCTGGAAGAAGGCAAAGTGTCCCCAGGAGCACTTAGCAGGGCTGGAAGAAGGCAAAAATGTCCCCTTTTTTGCGAAAAACGAGCAGAAATCAGGCAGGATTTTTGCAAAAATGGAGGCGCTTTTGCCTTCTCCCAGCTCTGCTGAAGCCTGCAGAGTGCTTCTGGGGACAGGGGGAAGGCAAAAACGCCTCTATTTTTGTGAAAAACTGCCCATTTTTTGAAAAAATGGGATGCAGAGGCAGAGCTTCGGGAGGCCAAAAATGGCTGTATTCGATATATAAGATGCACCAACATTTCCACGCTCTTTTAGGGGGCGGGGGGGGGGGAACGGTGCGTCTTATACTTTGAAAAATAGGATATATTCTCCTGATCTACAAAGCTAGTAACTCTAAGGAGCACGTAGACATATAGTTAGGAATAATTTGTTTGCAATAACCCCATGATGGCTCCTGTTAATAGTGGCACACCTATCCAAGTGCTTACAGACTTTCTGTTGAATGACCTTCCCCAGTACAGATGTCAAGCTGACAGGTCTGTATTTTCCTTTTGAATTGGAAGATGCCATTTGCTCTCTTCTGTGATGTGACCTGACCTCCAGTAGTTCAGCAATAGTCTCTATGAGTTCCTTTAGTAGCCTAGGAATCCATCCATTTCTGCAGACTTACCATTGTTTAAATTACCCACAATTTCTCTTATCCTCCCCTTGTTTATCTTTAGTTTCCTTCTTCTCCCAATGACATAATGATGGCCAGCTAGAGCGTCATTTCTTGTCTGTGGAAATTTATTTATTCATCATTAAATTTATATTGCTGCCTATTCACCTATGGCGACTCAAGGCAGCTTACAGAATGTAAAAAACCACATCCAAAAAACAGTAAAACTAATTTTAAAAAATCAAATAAATTAATGTAATAAAATCACCACCCATCCCAGCGACAGCTGATCACACGAGCCATTTAATGGGCTCCATCCTGCTGTGGGTTCCCCAGGCCCACTGGCAGAACCAGGTCTTTAGCGCCTTCCTGAAGAGTATTAGAGTTGGGGCCATTCTAATCTCTGGGGGAATGATGTTCCAGAGAGAGGGAGCCACCACGGAGAAGGCCCTTCTTCTGGGTCCCACCAGGCGTATCTCCCTTGGGGATGGGACCAACAACATTCCCTGCCTCCCTGCTCTGATGGGTCAGTTAGATGTGACCGGCACGAGATTATTTAATGATAAATTAAAAACAAAAAACCAGCATCTTGAATTGTATCTGGAATTCCACTGGTAACCAGTGAAGCTCACAAAGTTAGCAGCCTTATATGGATACTTGCACTGCTGCTTTCTGGGCCAGCCATAAATGGTTTTTAAAGACAGCCATTTTTGCAACTGTAAGATAAGGTCAACTCTGTGGTTTAATGGGGGAATTACTTGTAAACACAAAACAAGAGAAAATTTCCACTAGTCATTGCCAGTTCACCACATTCTCGACTTCTATGATGTCTGATTTGAATTTTCTCTAGATCTCAGATTCAGAGGTGGCGTAAACACTTTTCCCAAGGTGCCAATTCCTTCAGTTAATTCTCCCCTGTCGAGGAGGATGAAATCCAGGATAGCAGAAGCTATTTCTTCCTTCCACTTTCTGACAGATAAAATGATCAGCAAGAGGGGATATGAATTTGTTGATCCTCTTGGTAGAGTTAGATTCCTGTAAATGTCAGGATAATTTATATTTCTCATTAACATTATTGCATGCTTCTTCAAAACATTGATTGTCTGACGCAGAAGGGCCTCCATGCAATATCTTCTGCCCAGGTGGTCTGTAATAAACTTGCACAACAATATCATTTTTTGTTTCTCTCTTCATTTCTTACCCCCCCCCCAAGTATTTCTGTACTCTAATCCCTGAACTTCTGTACAAAATATATATCTTTCTTTGGAACAGAGTAATAATTCTTTTGCAAAGTTGCCCATAAGTTGTTTAATGATGGTTTTCTCCATGGGCCTCTGCTAAATAAAGATTTAACAAAATAGATTATTTTGGATATTTTGATATCTACCTGTAGGACGTTAGGACCTACCCCTCTCCTAGAAAAATGAAATATTCTAGGAAATATTGAAAAGGCAGAATATTATATTTTTCCTTGGATGAGAAGTGGAGTAACATGTTTTTGGGCAGGAAACAGACTCATTCTTAATAGCCCCCACCATCCTCAATAGCCCACAACCAATGTCTGCACTTAAGAGATAAAGAGATAGCTATGTCTATTCATAGGCAAATCCCTCACCCAAGATCCAACAAAGATAGGATTAGCCCTCTACCCATCTCACCACATGGCACTTGAGAAGATTACATCATCCAGCAAGGCTCAACCAAGCCTGGGATTCACAACAGCCTGCAAAGTTAGCTAAGACCTCCACCCCCTGGGAATCTGACAGCCAATGAGTTACATTTCTTGGACAGGAACAGGAAACTCTAAGGTGGGGCCCAGAGAGGGTATAAAACTCAGGCACTCTCAGCATCTCTGCCCCCCCCCTTTTTTTGCTGATTGGAAAGATGGTTTTAATGATGGACAGGATCACATGCCTTGAAGATAGTTGGGTGAAGAAGAAAAAGGGCAGAGATGGGCAGAGATCTGGAGGTAGCTCTTGCCTAACAACCATTTGTTTAGCCATCATCCAAAGCTTATTTAATCCTAGAACTGAAATTCGGATTGAAGGAGTAATATTTTTCCCAAGAGGGGAAAAAGCAGAATAAGGAAATTGTGCCAGTGCAATATTTTCAGGATGAGATTGCAAGTTAGCTCCCAGTCCCATAGTTGAAGAGCAATGGCATAACTGCTATGTGTGCTGTAAATCCTCTGGTCCAGCCATGACCTGTTTTCATAGTCCTTCCTGCCACCCTCGGCCTTTGTTAAACGTTTAGTCATTTGTCTGTTGATGCTTTAAAGACGTATCCTTATTCTTTTCTAGTTACTTCCGGAAAGGCATTTGCTTTGGTTTGGCATGTTTTGCCAATATGCCCGTGGACAGTGAATTGGAACGTGGGGCGCGCATGAAATCTGTGGGCATTCTTTCTCCTTCCTACACTCTGTTGTACAGATACATGCACTTCTTGGAGAACCAGGTCAGGTAGGTCTTTAGATAAAGGAAGCGTGTGGGGATGATGTTCCTTCTAACGCCTCCCGCAATCAGGAAGCCCTATTAGATTTTCTAGACCTCTGTTATGGTTTTGGCTGTGACAGCGATGAACCAATGTGTTGTGGCCGGCCATCAGACGATGAGGAGGTTGGGGAGGAACTTGGATCAGTGCTAAAGTCTGGGGAAGGCTTTGATGGCCAGGGTCTTCCAACATTTCCCAGCCACGGGAGAGGCAGCTGCCTTTGGAGGCTGCTATGAGTGAGGAGGAAGAACAGCTGGGACCTGTTCCAGATGCATGTATGCGCAGAGCAGTTAGAAGAGGTGAGCAACGGAGGACAAGGAGTAGACTCGGGAAGCAAAGCACATGTGCACACTGAATGACCCCTCCCTGGCTGGGGAATAAATAGAAGGAAAGCGGAGTGGTGGTCGTAGGAGACAACAGTTCGTATTTCTGAAGATTTTTCTCATTGTGTTTCATGCCACAATGACTGCTTGCCAGAACTTAATTTGCAGCCTTTTGGCTGGGAACTCATGGCCTTGCAATTATCACAAGGAACTGATAAGGTCTGTATTGCTCTTAACTCCTTGAAGGATTATTGCCTGGACTTTTTGGTGGGTGAATGCAATTAATTTACAAGAGGTTCATGATAAGGAGTCTGTTTTTTGATTCTGCTAAGGCTGGGTCAGAACACAAAACACCATTTATTACCCAAATGAAGTTATTCCCCATTAAGTTGAAATAGGTGAAAACCAAGTGAAAATGGGAGATAGCCACTTACTATAGAAGGCAGTGGTGAAATTCAATTTTTTTTACTACCAGTTCTGTGGGCGTGGCAGGGGAAGGATATTGCAAAATCTCCATTCCCACCCCACTCTGGGGGCCAACCAGAGGTGGTATTTGCCGGTTCTACGAACTACTCAAACTTTCCGTTACCGGTTCTCCAGAGCCTGTCAGAACCTGTTGAATTTCAGCCCTGGAATGGAGTATGCCCCAGCATGAATCTGATTCTGAATCAAGACCTGTCTGTGGAAGAGAAATGCCATGTGTGTGATTGAGTAATGACACAGTGGAATGCAGTATTGCAGGCTAATCCTTCCGACTACCAGCAGTTCGATCCTGACCGGCTCAAGGTTGATCCTTCCAGGGTTGATAAAAGGAAGATGCAGATGTTTGGGGCCAATATGCTGACTCTGTATACCGCTCAGAGAGGGCTATAAACAGAGGTGGGTTCCTACCGGTTCGGGCAAGTAGGTAATAACTTGGACACGCACCCGAACCAGTTCTATCCTTGCGGCCGCCATCTTGATTTTCTGTTCTGCACATGTGCAGAACAATCTTCATTGAAAAAAAATGTAATTTTCCCCCTTTTCTAATGTGTGCATGCGTAGCCCTTTTTAGGTGCAAATGTGCATGCGTAAATTTTTTTGTGCGCTGAACTGGTAGTAATGCTAGCAGGAACCCACCTCTGTCTATAAAGCACCACAAAGCAGTATACAAGTTTAAGTGCTACTGCTATTGCTATTCCTTCTGAGGATTTGCTGGGAAGCCCAACCTTTTCCCCTTGAATTGGGCATATCTACCAACAAACCCATCCTCCCAACCCATGGGCTCGGTCCAGGCCTCATCTGGACCACTTTGCTGTCAGTCTTGTTATGGAGATAAATAGGAAAATAATTGTGTATCTGATAAGGGAGGTTATAGAGAGACCACTCCGCAGCTGCTTGCTTATTTGTTTGTTTCCCTTCCAGGCACCAGTTGGAAATGCCAGGACATTATTCTCACTTGGAGGCCTTTTACGATGACAAGAAGGGAGTCTTCCCAGCAGGCACTCTTGTTTCACAGCAACCCATCCACTGGCTGCCCTCCATCCACAAATATATGTATCCAGAGATGAAGGTGAGGAATAATTGGCGATGGCTGAACTGTTGTGTGTGTTGGTTTCATTATTACGATTTTTTTTGCGGGGTTATTCTAAGTTCTAGGGGTCTGGGGAATATATTTTGACTTGATTGTTACTGTTATTTTTTCCCCCTTCAGTTATGGATTGTTGTTTTTTTTATTGTGCTGTTTTTGTGCTGCTTGCTGTGGAGGCTTCTGTTAAATTTTATTGCGGTTGTTTCCTTGCATTTGTTTGGTCGGGAGTCGACTGAGTCAGATTCGTTTGGCAGCAGCGTGAATATTTAATGAAATAAAACTGTGGGTGCCTGTTCATCCCAGCAGTTCAATTCCTTGCTGGGAGCGAGAGAGAGAGAATGACCAATTTTTCCGCTATTTATCTGAAAAGAAAAGAAGATGCCAAGCCTGGGTGGCTCATCTCTTCCCAGGGCTTTTGTTGAAGCTGGCATTTCTGTAAATCCCTCGCTCCCCACCACCGTTCTCTTGCTTTAGCGTTGACCTCAGTTCCTTGCTGTCTCCCCTGGCTGCAGATCACCCACCCTGCAGGCTGTATGTCTCAGTTCATCAAGTTCTTTGGAGAGCAGATCCTGACACTCTGGAAGTTTGCCTTGCTTCGCAAACGCATCTTGATATTTTCTCCGCCTCCCGTCGGCGTGGTCTGCTACAGAGGTAGGAAGCAGTATGGGAGAGGACGTGGCCTTCCTTGCAAAACCAGGCGGACAGAAAGAAGCATAATGCTTTCACACGTTTCATGTTACAGGAACTTAAGGAGAGGAAGAGGGAGGAAGGAAGGGAGATAGAGAGAGAAACTTTTTTTTTAAGGAAGCTGCTGCCTTGCAGACCAAGTTGTAGTAAGGCATTTTAATTGCCGTTTAATAAAATATCTCCCTACTGTACATGTCCTCAAGGTATGATCGTAATGGATGGAGCCTTCCCATAAGGGTCATGAGTTATAAAGATGGTTGGTCATGCAATCTTTTTTTGCATAAAGTCATAAAGTGAGTTCCATGGTCATTAAATGAACCAGTGGTTTGCTATGGGCTGGATTTGCCCCAAGCTGGAAGTAAATGCTGATTTTTGGAAAAAAAACTTTGGAAAAAGGTGACCATGGCATGTTGCAAACAGCTATAAATGCAACCTGGTTGTTGAACGGCAAAAAGGCAATCACATGACTGCATGGGGTGTGTAGGAATAACAGAATGACAGAGTTGGAAGGGACCTTGGAGGTCTTCTAGTCCAACCCCCTGCTTAGGTAGGAAAACCTACACCACTTCAGACA